TCATGCCATGTTTGGTTCCATTGCATTCAGTGGTTCTCTAAAAGAAGACATTTGTATGTATTTCTCATAGGCTCCTATGTTAAACTAAGTCTCCCGCTGGCGGCCATCTTGGATTATGGATCGGCTTCAAAGTAACAACACTCGGTCAGCACCTCATAAGGAACATTCATACCATGTTTGGTTTCATTCCATTCAGTGGTTCTCTAAAAGAAGACATTTGTATGTATTTCCCATAGGGTCCTATGTTAAACTAAGTCCCCCGCTGGCGGCCATCTTGGATTATGGATCGGCTTCAAAATAACAACACTCGGTCAGCACCTCATAAGGAACATTCATGCCATGTTTGGTTTCATTCCATTCAGTGGTTCTCTAAAAGAAGACATTTGTATGTATTTCCCATTGGGTCCAATGTTAAACTAAGTCCTCCGCTGGCGGCCATCTTGGATTATGGATCGGCTTCAAAGGAACAACACTTGGTCAGCACCTCATAAGGAACATTCATGCCATGTTTGGTTTCATTCCATTCAGTGGTTCTCTAAAAGAAGACATTTGTATGTATTTCCCATAGGGTCCTATGTTAAACTAAGTCCCCCACTGGCGGCCATCTTGGATGATGGATCCACTACAAAGTAACAACACTTGGTCAGCATCTCATAAGGACCATTCATGCCATGTTTGGTTTCATTCCATTCAGTGGTTCTCTAGAAGAAGTTCAAAATGTAAAAAGTTAACGCCGACGCCGGACGCCAAGTGATGAGAAAAGCTCACTTGGCCCTTTGGGCCAGGTGAGCTAAAAAGTAACTTGAATTACCATGAAAGCAGATCACTCCAACCTAGCCTGCTCTGTCCCATTATTGCTTTCAAGTATTTTTTTCTTCCAAAAATAATATTCTTTAATAATTATCATGTCTCAACCAAAACTAACTATACTTAACATAAAAATCTAAAAATGCTGTTGATTCAAATTAAATTTTCTACAATTCCATACATTTGTCTCAGCATGGTCAACTTGATGCAAGCAATTATACCAGTAATTGATTAGGTTTAACTTGGAAGTTTTTCTGTCAAAGGTAGATAGTTCTCTTTGGGTATTCCGAACTCCTTCCTATAAAAAAACTGACCACCCTGATTTTAGTCAAGTGTGCTTAAAGTAGGGTTTAACACCAACATCAATCAGTTAATCATGAATTGTTATAGTTGTTCACATTTACTTGTTTTTTTTCTTTGTAAACATATATTTAAAAAATGCTAAATATATCCAATGCAGATTTGTCTCAGGTCAGGGATTGGGTTTTGAGCACTTATTAACATTTCAAACCAGTTCATTTTCTGTATGAGCTTGACCCTAGTTGGGAACCACTTATTTGCTGCTGTTAATCATATTTGTTTTTCATCTAAAATTTTACACAAAAGTACGAGGGTAGGAATGCCCGTTTCCGTCTGGCGTCAAACGGTCATTTTCTGAAAAGTTTAATGAAAAATAATACGATTGACAGCAACGAATTACTGGTTCCCTACTCGAGGGTCGTAATGGGGGTACCTTCATGACAAATAACGGTAAAAAGCTAGACTATTTATTTGTTAAATCCCGTTTTTTATCACTTAAAACTTTGAAACGTAACGTCATAAGGCAATAAAGGTAATCATTGGGGACATTCCGACAATGACTGACATGAAAACTACGTACTTTCGATAAGGATTCCGTCAACTGACATTAGTTTCGTACATTGATATTTCTGTCCACTGACTGTGCATTGTTTGAAGTGTAAAGCACCAGCAAATTTACGTGTGCGCTTGACTCTTTATTATCGCAATAACATACTGAAAAATTCTAACTTTCATTTAAAAAAAAGCATGTTTTCTAAAACCGGAATATGACTTGATTGTGTTAAAGATCTGAACACAGGAGGAACAACTAAATCCGTGTATTTTTGTCAAGCATCATTGAGTTGAAGTCGTACTCTCCAAGTAGATACTTGAAATTAACATAAGATGCATTTCTGTATGAATTAACGAAAATTCTGTTTATTTTGAAACTTTCGGATGCACAATTATATTTCCCAGATGCGCAGATACGTAACCAACGTGGTTTGGATTAACCCGAATAATCCAGTTGTTTCATTCCGATTACTCCAACAAGAAACGGCAGTGGATGGAGGGTGCTGAATCATTCGAGCTAGTTTCGGATTATAATTAAATTAACACATGCATACTACAAAATCTCATTTAAAAACATCCGGTTACAAGTAAATAAATAACATACATGTAAGATGAGATGAAATCTAATAATTAACATAAATAAAAAGGTACATATTAAAACATTAAAACATGAGAAATTATAACACTAACGATAGTGATTGTTTTTTCAAGCCTAACTGTACATTTGTTTTATAAAATGATGCAGATGCTATTTTACAAACTTGAAACCGATCATGTGTAAACATCGGTGTCAAGATATGGCACGGAAGTTATGAAATTGTAAAGCACAGAAAGGGATATGGCAACAATCCTGTTGACGGTTCAATGATTTCACAGCCGGCAGTAAAGGATATCAGAAGACTTCTTCCACCAAAAAATGATTTTGCGAGGTTTGTTTACGTTCTGCCATGATTGTTATTGAAAATGTTGAGGGTGCCCTTATCATTATCAAAACTAACATTTTACCCAAAGATTTATGTAGAAAGTAACTATATAAATCGTTGATTTACCTAATCCATTTTAATATGGAATTTTAATTCAAAATCCAATATTAACTGATGAATATCAAAATATAGTGCTTTATAACAAATTTCTCGTAGCAATGCATAACTTAAACTGGAATAAAAAGAGTGTATTAGTCAGCCTGGAACCAGCTTATGCATAATGATGTATTAACTACAAAACGTAATCTTTTATTCGTTCCGTTTCGGTGTTTCATACTGACGCATGTGTTTTGTTTTAGCTTAAGATCCTTCAAACATTAATGTGATGGATCTATTTAACATTCTAACATGACGTTCTTCAAACGCTTTGAGTACACACCCGTGGTAAAATATGAATATATTGTTTGGGCTGTTCCGATCGTACTACCGCGTCATATGCTTTTTTATGAATGAGCTACCTGACGTCATAGAACGATGACGTAAGAATATAAGCATTTTACGGGAAAATACACGCTTGTGAACCAGAAAATCATCACAAGAAGGAAACGTAAACAAACGATGCTAAAATGTGTTATATAAGCCATTTTTTGTATACATATAAGACATACATGTATAAATACAATTATCATTTAGATTCATCCAAACCTATCTAAATATGTTATTGTAAATAGTTTAAGCATGTCATTTATTCAGTTTGCTCCGGTCTTTTAAGTCAATTTAATAGTGCGTTTATTTATGGGAACGGCAAATAATGCCTTCATCTAGAGCGCTTCGATCCAAAACAATTGCCGTACTTGTCCTATTAGAATCGAAATAATTCATGGGGGCTTGAATATATCGTGATTTTACCACGGGTTGTCCCTTTATACCGATATTTTAACCCTCGCTATCGTTCAGGGTAAAATATTTTTCATAAAGGGTCAACCCGTGGTAAAATCACGATGTATTCACGCCCCCATGAATTATTTCTTAAGTATTTTACTAAAGAATGAAACTGTTAAATTTCAAAGTCTTACTCTAGTGATATCTTTTAAGTATTGATTATCAAAGCACTCTCATCTTATTTCTTCCAGCTAATACCAAACACAACTTTCCAAATTGTTTTTTTTGGGGTGATTTTTACTTATTTTAACACTCTTGAAGTGTTCTAGAATCTTTTACAAGCATTCTGCTTGATGATGGAAAGCGAGTTTTTCATTGAAAGTACCACAAACAATCACACAAAATTTGAAATTGTCAGAGTTTCATTAGACATTTTCAACCAGATACAAAAAGTTGTTCCTCCTGAATTCTTGTGTTGAAAAGGGGGGTGCGGACAATGTACCTGTGCAGACTTTACAAGGCTGATTACGTACTTAATTAGAAGTTCTTCAACTATTTCTTAATGAAATTTTTCATATCAAATTTGCCTTGATAGTTGGTAAAACAAAAATACAGTTATAACTGCCAAATCCCTTTTAGAATGCAATCTTTTCTGAAAGAGCCCTTATTTTTGGAATGTGTTCATTTTGCATGAAGCCATTAAACTTAAATGTACTCTCTCATTTCCAGTGCAGTTAAAAAATAAGACACCAATCAAACAATAAAATGAAACAGTAATTGAGTAAAAGTAAATAAAAAAGGAAGGAATTTACAAAAATTTGTAAGGGTTCCGCGGAACCAAGTGTCTCACCTACTTTTGCTGTTAGTCGCAGGCTCAACAAAAATAGGGGAATAATTATCAAAAATTTTCCTCTAGATACTATCTTCTGATTGTAAGAAGCTTCTGTTCAAGTTTGGTAAGAATCCAGGATGGTTTATGAATCTTATAAATGTTTTAAAAACTTTAACTGCAGACTGTATGTAATGTTAACTGGAAGAAAAACTAAGTCCATTTATAAGTAATATACGGAAAAACAGGAAATTTTTTTTTACAAAATTTCCTTCTAGATACTAGCTTTTGATCATAAACAAGCTTCTGTCCAAGTTTGGTACAAATCCAGGATAGTTTAAAAAAGTTATTAAAATTTGAAAAACTTTAACCACAGAGTGAATATTTGTGGACGCACCCGCCGCCGCTGCCAGAATGTAGGATCGCTATGTCTCGCTTTTGCGACAAAAGTCACAGGCTCAACAAAAATGTATACTGTAAAACAGATCCTTTCTTCATTTCAATGCATTAACTTCTCAAGACAATTTAAGCATTGATCGATAAGTGCCCCCTCATATCAATATAGTTGATTTGTACTAAGAGAATTCATACAGAGTATGTTTTCACACATTACATGATATCAAAATAAGGGGAAGTAGCCCTGCAAGTAACTTTCCACATTTACTGTTACCGTCATTACTGGTACTCATTTCAAAGAGTGAACTTACTTGGAAGCTCTTCATCTGTATCTGAACTTAAAATTTCTATTGAATTCACTTTCTTGCTGTTATAAAAAAGAATAAATAAATAGACACATGATATAATCCACGTCAATTACAAGTTACTATGCTGTGGATTCATTAATATTCGTGGGATAACAATTTTTGTGGACTTTCTGGGTTCAGGTGAACCATGCATTTAAATGATCAACGAAGTACAAATTTTCTTAAGGCTTGTATGCAGACTTTTGTAAAACCATGATATTAAAAATCAACGAAAAATACAATTTTACCTTAATCCACGAAAATGGGTACCAAAGAAAATAAATGAATCCACAGTACTTAGAAATACAATAAATGAACCACCTATTTGTAAGTATTTTATTAAAATAGTTTAAAATCCTAACTATGATTATTATTATAATGATATTACTGAAGTTTTATCTCAAGCTTGCAGGAAAAACTTTATTTCCATTGCATCAACAACATTACCTAATAAAATAAACTGTTGACACAGATATGTCTTGCCTGTCAGCAAAAAATTTGAAAAAGAGACAAACTGATGGACAGCAACATTGTTAATTAATTCAAAGTCGCTGGACCATTACCTAAGGGGCAGGGCCTTCAACTTTTTAGAAAATATCATTGATCTATCAAAAGTAGTTCCTATCAAACAGACTTAAGCAGAATCTTAACATTGAAAATTGCTTATTAATTTAAAGTTGCTGGGCCATGATCTCGAAATAGTCGTCAAACTGATGTACTGATGTACTGATAGTAATGCCACTTTATAGAAAATATCATTGATCAATCAAAAGTAGTTCCTATCAAACTAACTTAAGAAGAAAACTTCACAGTTGTTGATGCCGCCACAAAAACAACCCTTATGCTTACTTTCTTTGGGTTTTGTTGCAGGCGAAACAAAAATTGAAAATTAAAATTGTGTTAAAATTTCTGAACAATCTCTTTATTTATAGTTTTAAAGAATTTGATTTTTAACTCCATAGAAATCTAAAATTGGTGAAGCATTTCTTTGCTGTTCAGAATAAAACTTTTCTTGAAAGTGATTGCTTTACCTTTTCCTTATATTACTTGTGTTCTTATTGTAGTTATACAATGTAAGCATATCAAAATAAAGAGGATATTTTTATATGGCTGTTCCCAAATTTATTGTGTGGGGGGGTGGAAGGAACTCTTTTTATATCTTTAATCTCAATACACCATATATAGAGGTACAGAGAAGACATTAAGTACAATATTTACTATAAGACAGAACAAACAGGAATGTGTTCATAGTACATGGATGCCCCACTCGCACTATCATGTTCTATGTTCAGTGGACCGTGAAATTTGGGTCAAAACTCTAGATTAGAAAGATCATATCATAGGGAACATGTGTACTAAGTTTCAAGTTGATTGGACTTCAACTTCATCAAAAACTACCTTGACCAAAAACTTTAATCTGAAGCGGGACAGACAGACAAACGAATGTACAGACGGACGAACGAACGTACAGATGAAAAAACATAATGCACCTAGGTGGGGCATAACAATAAAATGGCTAGGATAATATACTAAAATTAAATAGGGTTGAATTTTCTTTAGAATTGTGTAAGAATTATAAGTAAAATGAAATTCTTTATTATATGGGTGGTCAGGGTTTAAAAAAAGCCCCTCATTGGTTTAATTCTGGAACAGCCCATAGTGAAAATGAAAGTTAATATTCTTTTATTGTAATATGCAACCATAGATATAATTTTAAAATGTTTTGAATGAGGGGAGGACAGACATTGGTAACACTATATGTCCTAGCTACTAAGTGGTGAGGGCAGAATATAAAGCGAAATAGCACTAACTGGACATCTGCTCACTGTTGAAGGCCGTACAGTGACTCATAATAATAATGCTTTATTCCAAAAGCAAGTACAGCTTTTAGGATATATAAAATGGTTGACAAATTAATTATACATGCACCATATAACATACACAGACATATTATGAAATTTCAAATACATTTTAGTTGTCATCTTCTATGTCATTTGGTCTCTGGTGGAGAGTTGTCTCATTGGTAATCATAACATCTTCGTACTTTTATAACATACATAACTAGTCATTTAAGTTGTGTCTCCAAATAATTGTAGGAAGTTTTGTGTTATCAGAGGGAAAATTTGCTTGACAAAAGTAGAATAATTTTTAGTCCTTGTTATAATTAGTAAGGAAGTTTCTAGAGACTGTAGAAAACAAAGTAAGTCATACAAAAATGTATAACAAAAATACCGAACTCAAGGCAAATTCACAAAGGGGAAGTCCATAAAAACTGACAAAATCAAACGCTATTAATCAACAAAACAAGTGAAAAACAACTGCCATATAAAAATATGCCAACATTAAAGATCCATGAAATTTAAACCAAAGAATTATATGTTTCACTCAATTATCATTTTAAGGAACCCTATAAATTCAATAGTTAACCTTTTCTTAGCAGGGTCAGGGAGGGATGTAGTATACAAATCATCATCACTTTCATCACTGCTATCATTTAACACATCAGGCAGATATTCTTCATCGCTATTATCTTCACTACTTGTAACTTCAAAATCATCTACTATAAAACTGCCAATGCTAAAATTTAGAACACAGCAATTTTATACAATTTATCAGATATTAAAACATTAATAAAGTATTTTTAATTTCATTACTTTACTCAGAAAAACATGTTTTCTTAAAAACATGTCTGTATTATACTTTGAGTATGTTTCATGCTTCGAGTGCTTTTTATGGTATGAGTTTTGCTCATTGTTACAGGTTGTAAGGTGACACATAATTGTAAAATCCACATCATTTGGACTCTGGGGAAGAGTTGTTGCATTGACAATCTTACCACATCTTTTTTTATATTCATGCACAATTTTATTTGTGTGTGTGTGTGTTTATTTTGTAGACTGATGAATGTTGGTAATGTTTATAGATTTATGAACGTGATGCTTTCAAGATCAGCTTTTCTAAAATTATCTGAGTTTGCCTAGTGTAGTTCAATTAGCTAGATCAAACACTCTACTTTTGTTAGTGTTTGTGAAAACTTTGATTTGAGTAGTAAAAGAAAGCTTATAGATAGATATATTCCAAAATTAATATTGAGTTTTCTACATTTTACCTAACCTTCGACCTGAATAGCAGTAGGAAGCTTACCTGTCATCAGATTCCTCTTCCTTTGTCACTGGTTCAGGCTTTTTACCTTTCATTTTCTGAAAAACTATCACAATCACAAAATAATTAATTGTCTTCAAGACTTCTATTATGAATGAAGTCTGCATTTAATTACATCTACCTCTTTCATTGACACCTGATTCAAGTACCCTTGACTTCCTTCTTTAAGCTGTTTTCTGATTACTGTCTATTATGTTTTTTTTTATTTTCATATTTCTTCCAGAATATAAATGAAATATTTGAAACTGGACATTAAGCAAGCAGCAATCAATCAATCAACAATAGGATATCAAATGATTCTGTTTTTACTATTTTAAAAATTTGAGCTGCGTCAGATAGAAATCGACCTTATGCAAATGAATATCAAAACATCTGTTACTGTGGATTCATTTATTTTCGTGGGTACCAATTTTAGTGGATTAAGGAAAACTTACATGTTCGTGGATATTTGATTTCGTGGTTTTGCCTAAGACTGCATACAAGCATATAGAAAATTTTTTATTCTTTGAACATATAATTTCGTGGTTCGCCTGTACCCACGAAATCCACGAAAATTGGTATCCCACGAAAAATAATGAATCCACAGTATCCTATTTCGGGTTGAAAAAATTTCTATGGAAAATCTGCAACTGTTTGAAAATTGAGTTTTTATAAGAACCCTACAAAACAGACCAAAATTCATCTTTCATTTCGTATTTGGATGTTCCAAAATCAATCAAAATCTTATACATGTACATACATGTTTGCACTTGCATAAGGTTGATTTCTATCCGACAAAGCTCATTTGTTAAAGGTCAAAATGAAGATTTAAATATAATTTGTGTTGATCTATGTTTTTGTTTATTTTTATTGGATTCCAATGTTGCCTTTAGTAATTATATATAAAATCAGACCTATAACTAAGTATGCAAGGATATTTACTTACACAGTATTTCCAACTTTTTATAACTGCCTTAATGGCAAAAGATCATTGTTTCAACCCCTGTCTGGGTCAAACAAGACTTGAAATATTGGTATTTGCTGCTTCTCTGTTAAGCATGCAGCATTTAGGAGTAAGACTCATCATTTTTTATGTGTCTAGGTAGGTTGACATGTCTTCCAACAGATTGTAAACTAGTTAAACTAGTACGTTAAAATCTACTTCAAAGACAGGGTTTATATCTATATCACTTTAACATGTTGTATGCAAGTCATAAATGCCACTTGACATTAGCCACCATTCAATCCATCCTATTTTTCACTGGTGAAAACAAAGAAAAGATGTCTTTTATAATAAAGACCTTCGCCATAAGCGCATGATATGCACATTGCTCTTTCAGCTCATCTTTATGCTTTCAATGAATATATATGATCAACTAGAAATACTGTGAGCACTGCTCAAATAGAAACCCCACCCACCAAAAAAAGAAGAAATGCACACACAGAGGTACCCACTGACACAAAACATGAACAATTTAGCACTATTAAGGCTATCTCAGGTTATAACTAATTTTGTGGCCTCAATTTTGGAACGAATAAAATTCTCTAACCTTCCAAAGTGTGAAAAATAGACAGTTTTAGATGATTTTTCAAGGAATAAAGCTCCATAACTCCGCAATTTCATATCAGAAATTTATAAAAACTAAAGATGAATAGATATAAACAAGTCACCAAAATTTCCTGCTCAGTGTTTTTAAGTTATTGTCTGAAAACTGGAAAATCCCCCCTTTCTTATGAATAAAGTCCAAATACTCCAAAACGTAAAATCAGAAACTTTTAAAAATCAAAAGGGAACTTATGTCAATGTCTATAAACAATTCAACAAAGTTTCATGATATTTGTTTGTAGCATTTTTGAGTTATAGTCGGAAAACTGTAAATTAAATAAAATTTCACAACTCAGAAACGTAAAATCTGTAATTTATAAAAATTGAAACAGACCTTATGTCAATGGATATAAACAATTCATTAAAGTTTCATGAAAATCAGCGAAAGCATTTTTGAGTTATTGTCCAACATGTTGACAACGGATGGAAGGACAACCGTACACTATAATACGTCCCATATTTTAAAGGGGTATAAAAATTGCTAACTAGATATCATTGAGATGGGAGCCATCTCTGTGGGCCCCGCTGTGAATAATGTGTGGTAATTTTTTTTTATCTTTATCATTGGACATGGGGTTGTCAACTGAAACCAAAGTTTTTGACCTTGACCTTTGACCTAGGAAGTTGTACATAAATAATGAAACACCCTCTGGTGTTGGTTTATATACATGTCAAGTATAAACTTCGAAATCATAAAGGTTCTCAAGATATAGAGCGGACACGATCTTTACCATAGGACATGGGGTTGTCAACTAAATACAAAGTTTTTGAACTTGACCTTTGACCTAGGAAGTTGTACATACATCATGACACATCCTCTGGTGTTGGTTAATATACATGTCGAGTAAAAACTTTGAAATCATAACGGTTCTCAAGATATAGAGCGGACACGATATTTACCATAGGACATGGGGTTGTCAACTAAAACCAAAGTTTTTGACCTTGACCTTTGACCTAGGAAGTTGTACATACATTATGACACACCCTCTGGTGTTGGTTAATATACATGTCAAGTATAAACTTTGAAATCATAATGGTTCTCTAGATATAGAGCGGACACAATTTGTTACGGACAGACTGATAACAATAGGGTGTCCGCCGTTCGGCGGGGCCCTCATTATACTATTTAACTTAAACTATAGAACTGTGTAAACAGAAATAACAATATTGAAAATATCACCTTAATTCATTGTCTACCCTAAGTTAATATTTTGCGATATTTGAAAATAAAATATGGAAAAAAAATCACGATTAAAATACTTACAATCACATGATTAAAATACTTACAATCTTCAAGCTGATCCTCACTACTAGAATCACTTTCGTACTTCTTTTTACTCCTGAAAAAGAATACAAATGGAGGATAATGTATGTAAATGAGTTCACTACATTACTCTAAATTTCTCTTCAACTCCTTTAATATACTCTAAAATAAAATAATTTTCAAGAGCAATTATATACCGTACATTAAGAAAATTACAAAATCATAAAAACAAAAAGCCACCAATAGTATGATCAAATAACAATTTTGTGAGGATAAAAGTTATACTTAACTGAGCTAAACAAATTTAAACATCCTTTTCTTGATATACATACCTCCAATTAGTTTTACTTTCATTTTCCACAGCATTCTTAAAACAATCATCCTCAGAATCACTCAGTATATCATCTATTTTACTTCCTTGTTGTTCTTGGCTGTGAGCACTTGTTTCATTGGTTAGCTCTGATTGGTTGTCTACAGGACCTGAAACCACAATTACAAAAGATATCTATATTACTACAATTATCACAAATCAGAAGAAAAACTTCTTTGTTGAGGCAAATTAAACCTCCAAAAGTACAGAAGCAAGTCAAAATCTAAAAAAATCAAAATCATATAATCCAAAAAATTAAATTATTTTAAAATAGAAATTCTTACCAAACTCAAAACTGCTTTAAAAAAATTCAGTAACAATCATGCCCAATATCATAATCAAAACTATTTTCAATTACTTTAAATACCTTGCTCCTGTTCACAACAGTTTTTGCTTTTTCTCACTTTCTCATTGTTTATATTTGTGATTTTAACCAATTCTTCCTCCTCATCTGAACTAAATATACTACCAACAGATTGGTGTTTCTTTGGTTTTTCTTGACAATTTTTTTCACTATCGTCATCAGAACTGAAGTTATAGGAACCAGAAGAAATTATGTTTCTACTCGTTTCTTGCTTGTCTTTTAATGTAACTTTTTCATCATTAATGCTGATTTCTTCAAAATCACTTTCTGCATCAAAGAATATTGTTTTATTTTTCGAATTAGTTCTGGATGACAGACTGCCACTTTTATCCTGTGAAGGCAAACTTCTTTCTGGTATGTCATCAGAAGATTTTACATCAACCTGGGATGAAATGTCTTGAACTTCAACAAATGAACAACTGGTATTACTATCCTGACCAGAACTATTTCTTTCCGAGGAATTTTCGTCATATTTCTTGGAAGAACAATTATCATTTATACTTGTTTGCAACGATACATCATGAACCTCAACAAAATCAGAACTGTCACTACCTGAACAACCACTTTCATTTTTCTGTATCTTTTCCAATTTTGACCGAGATATATTTCTACTTGTTTGAATTGAAATGTCTGCAACTTCAAATGATGAATGTTCTTCGCTATCTGATCTTTTGTTGTGATTATTTGAAGATGAATTTGAGCTATTAAAACTTATAAACTGTTTATTATCAGGTGGAGACAACTCTGTAAAACTTGAACTTGAAGATGAACTGTCTCCAGTTCTAGCATCAAAATAAACGGACTTTCTTGATTTCTCTATTGAATTCAAACCCTTTGTATTGTCAACTTCAATGAACTTTTTACTCATAGCAGTTGTATATAAATCTGTCTGATTGGAAGTAGATGCTTGTTCCTCTTCTGAGTTATTTGACAAATCTAAATTTTGTAATTTTGAACACAAGTTTGTATTGTTTTCTGTCTGTTCTCTGTAAATAATTTGCTGAAAATGTCCAATAGAAACTCTTTTCTTTCCAGATTTTATTATATTTAGATCTTTATAGGAATGATTTTTAGAAGAATAAATCTGATCTGATAAATTTTCCTGTTGAAACAATCCCAGTGAAACATCAGGAATATCTAACATTGTGTCAATACTTGCCCTACTGTGGATCCGTGTGGATTCCTGGACTGGAACCCCTAAATCCAAAAAGTCAGATTCAGGTGAACTGTTACAATTTTTGTGATAGGATTGATCATTTGTATTTGTTTCCACACTATTCTGTAAAATTTTTGAATTCTCAGAAGATTGCTTCATTTTTTCATCTTTTTCAAACACAGGATTTTGATCTTTGTTTTCTTTATCATTTTTGCTTTTCCGGCTTTTTCTTGTTAAATCAGTTGCGCCTGGTGTGCGACGGAGAGGAATTTGGAAATCGTCTCTACAGTCTGACAAGGGAACATTATCTTCCAAGGAATTGCCTTTTATATCTTTTAACGGTGATTCTGAGCTGAATGAAAGCTTAGTTTTACCCATTTCTTTTCTCTTTCTTGTTTTCATATTTTTCTTTTCATTGTGTGAAGACTTTGACAGAGCTAAAATGATATTAAATCAGTTATTACATTTACTTTTCCGATACAAATTTTCTTTGTAGAAAAATTCATCTTTCTTTTAAATACATTAAATATGGCCTCTTCAGCATTAGGCCAAATAAAAATATGTGTGGTTCCAGTTACATCCTGAAAAAAATTAGGGTCAGTAGGTCGGCATTTAAAAAAAAACTTTTTTTATTTATTTTTTTTTTCTATTGTCAAAATCCAGAAAAAAATCGTGTGTTCACCCAGTCCAATTCCGGTATTTAACATGCACCTACTGGAAGTTCACCATTTTCTATATGTTTGGTTATAAACTAAACTGACATGTTACTTTTTTAGTTAGTTTTGTTGCATTTTGTTAAGAATTTGTTGCATTTTCAGCCGTAGTGGATACTTCTAATGTAAATTCAAATGACAGAAGTCAGTGAATTTAATTAGTGAAATTTATTTTTTCGGAAATGGAAAAAAAAAGTTCTAGGGTCGGGGGATGAAACTAGGGTTGGTCGGGTAACTGGAACCACACATATACTTTTATTTGGCCTTATCAGAATAGAAATGTATGCGATTTATAAACGTTTCATACTATTTTGATAAATGAAAGTACAAAGGGTGCAAAAATTCTGGAAAACAGAAATAATTCTATATTTTGTAAAGAAATGTATAGGGGCAAACAATATCACATTCAAGAAATTGTAAATTTCATATTTGTGCATTCATATGTCTTTTTAATGGAAACGTTTATCAGCAAAGAAACCTTACAAAAACTCTGACCATAAGCAAGTAAACTCTATATTAACCACGCAAGGTACAAGCCATTTTCACTAGCTCCTACTGTGAGATTCAAACTTCTGGTAATTGAAAAACAGCCCAAAACACAAAAAATTAACATGACCAATGAACCATGAAAATGGGGTCAAGGTCAGATTATACCTGCTAGACAGACATGTACAGTGTTCACCCCAGGCCGATATGATGCTGCGGTCCCGCAGCGCCTTCAAAATATTTTCGTTGATCCCGCAGAGCCTTAATTGGCTGCTGTCCCTTAATACTTGATCCCGCAGCGTGTTAATTTTCCTTTTTTAATTATAAATGTTGGTTAAAATTGTCAAGTTGCTGATCACCGCTGAGAGGTCGGTCAATGTTGTGCAATAACTGATAACTAGCAAAAGTCTCTGATTTACCTGTTCCAGCCTTATCAGACCATGTAATCAGGTTAAAGCGTAAATGATCATCAAGAAGATAGATATTTTTAGTAGAAAATAAAAGTTTTTAAAAACTTCAGTGCAAAATTGAAGAAATAGATCGCAAATACATTGTATTTATGCATCGCCTGTGTGCGATCACTTGGCCATTTAAGTAACGAATTTTTTCATTGGTCGAGAAGAAGAATCTATTTAAACACGACCAATGAACATGATGAATACACGTGATAAATTTGAATACACATTACTAAAGAAAATTACGAAGAAATTTATGAATGAGAGTATTTGTACGTCAAAAAAGTAAAATAAACTTTTATTAAAGATAACGAGGAGTGATTTATTTTATAAGAAAGTGAAAAATTGTTGCTTGCAAGTAAAATTGGTCTGTCAACTGTCACGTTTTAGAAATAAAATAATTTTTTAACATAGATAGTTAATTCGTCCATCGGGAAATAATTGTACGGAATAGCTGCAACATTTGTATTATGTCATTAGAATTTCACTGGTCTTAACTTTGAAGAATTTGTCAAGTTTCGTTTATATCTACCTGCCAAAGAAACGTTTTGACAATTATACACACGGAAGTGTCATGTCAAACTACGGACACTGGTCAGCTGGTTCATTACATTTTTTTTGTTTTAAAAAGTTGTATACCAAACATCTTAAACATAATCAATTTCAATGCTGAATCACATGTTCTTTGTAAAGAAGAAATGGGTTAAGCGAAAGGCAGATGATGTTTTCAACCCTAAAGAGGATAAAGACTGAGGAACAGGCTGTCCAACAAAATTACAAATTGTCTTGTTACTATATCTCTAGAAGGAACAGAGAGTACAGAAATAAATATTTCTGAAGCTGTTCAGCAATGGAAGGCCCAGAAGAACATGAGGATTTTTCTTGAACTATATATACATTTTGACTTATTTAATTGACTGTGATATAACTGCTTTTTGTGTTTAAAATGAATTTATTTCAAATATATATTCTTATTCTTTATCATGTATATTAATACTGTGCATTATTGCATATAATGATTTATGACCAATTGCTTTAGATCACAATAGTTCGCTCAAATAGTTTTACGCGCCCTTGAAATTTTGCGTCTTAAAAAATTTCTGGGGAGAACACTGATGTACATTTCACAATTATTCCATACACCAAATATAGTTGACCTACTGCTTATAGTATTTGAGATACGGACTTGACCAATGTAACTTTAGCCTTGATCACTGATCCATGAAATGAGGTCAAGGTCAGGTGAACCCTACCTGACAGACATGTTGACCTTGCAAGGAATCCATATACTGAATTTAGTTATCCTATTACTCATTATAAGAGAGTATTTCACTTTTCAAATAAAAAATACTTTTTTTCAAGCAGTCACTGAACCATGAAAATAGGGTCAAGGACAATGGACATATGAGAAGCATCCAGGTCTTCTAGCTTCTGAAATATTAAGCTTTATACAAATAGTTTACACCATTGCCGCCGCTGCCAGATTGCAATACCTATGTCTTGCATTCAACGACTTTTGTGGCAGGCGAGACAAAAAACTGTTCATTGCACCCAAATGGACAGTAGGTAGATTTCACCATCCTCAACATTTCTGCCAATGTCAGAATTTCTCTATCTATAGAGGTTGTCAAGATAATAGACAAAACTTGCATTTTACCTATGTGTTAGCTATGTGGGTTTGCTGGCTGGATCATGGGACAAATTTTTAAAACTATATACCCCAATGATGATTGTTGCCTGGTTAATTTTCAATTGGCCTGGTAATTTCAAAGAAGAAAAGTGAAATGTGTGAAGTAAAAGGCTGTTAAACAGCAATTGTTTACATGTATAATAGCTACTGAATATACAGAGATATTTCATATAGAATAACCCACAAACATGCATAAACTAAAACACATGTATGTTCTATAACTGTTCATGTGAGAATCAAGTTCATAATCTGTCTCAGCCTAAAGTGATTCAGACTGTCCACTGTCTGTTTCACAAGGTTTTGTGTCATATAGTTTGGGCATTTGTTAGTTATTTAAATTCCTATGAATATATTTTGACAAATGTGTGTTGCTAAGTTTCCATTTAATACCCTTAATATTGTTTTTCAATCGTTTCAATATTTATACCCTCACCATCTTCCGCTGATTCTTGTCTTCTTCTAGATTTGTTTGACTTCTTTTTTGTACTGTTGGAAAGCTGTAAAATACCAGCAAAAACATGAATTTATATAATGACAAAGTTTACTATGTACTAGAAGTATATCAAATAACTCAGTTTGACCACATAAATAACCATATTTTATCAAAAGCTGTTCTATTTTTTCAGAAGCTCAGTTGTTTTAAAAGTCAATATATATCTAAATGCATGTAGCAGTTTATTCTATTCTATTTTGAAATTAGATGATCAGTTTTTCAGTTTCTCTCTAGAAATCTGTATTTTATCTAATAACATGACTAAACAATTATCCAATCGACAGAAAAGCCCAATAGTGGTAAATGAGGTATTAAAAAATAAGATTTGTCCATAGTACACGGATGCCCCACTCGCACTATCATTTATATGTTCAGTGGACCGTGGAATTGGGGTCAAAAATTTTGCATTAAAATTAGAAAGATCATCTCATAGGGAACAGGTGTACTAAGTTTCAAGTTGATTGGACTTCAACTTCATCAAAAACTACCTTGACCAAAAACTTTAACCTGAAGTGGGACAGACGGACAAACGGACGAACGAACGGACGCACAGACCAAAAAACATAATGCCGCTAGGTGGGGCATAAAAATTGTGAATAAAATCATTAAGTGGTTGTAGAGGATAGCTATTCCCCATACCCATTATTTATTTTATTATTAATTTTTTCAATCAAAATTAACTTTAGTTTGGACCTTTGTCACTTAAATCTGAACTTGAAAAAACTGGACCAGACAGTTGGACAAAGGAATAAATAGATGGACCTTTGGTGAGGTGATGATACATTGTAGATTGCCACAAGAAGACATCCAGTTCTTAACAGCCATTAGTACTGCAGTATACTTACAATGTAGTTAATTAAAAAAAAAAACAACCATGTGCTGGCTGTTAATTAATCATGAAAACCCTCTACTATTGTGAACATTTTGTTTCTCTTCCATGCATGGTTTCTTGGATTATGGATTAGGAATTATGACTTTGCATACAGTAAACCAGTATAAATATTTCTTTTTCATTTTGGATGATTTAATATTTTAATATGATAATAATACTTCTGTGTAATGTAAAACATTGTACATGAAAGTGTTCCTAGTTAAATCAGAGATTTATGGGATATCCTTCAATTGTCATTATGTTAATAATAAAGAATAACAAACAATTTTATTTTACCTTCTTTTACTGTAGATTGATTGTTTGATTTTTGGTGTTTTAACGCCTCTTTCAGCACTACTGGCTACTTTGTCATGTTTGTGGAGGCAAGTTTTTATTGATGGAGGAAGTTGGAGTGCCTGGAGAAAACCACTGACCTTTGTCAGAAAAACTGAAAAATTTAGATTGGAGTCAAGCGCACCTGCCACGTGTGGGGTTCAAACTCACAACCTCAGTATTGACAGGCTAGTGGTACAGTAATTGAACTACTCAGACCACTACGTCACCGCAGCTTCTTTGTATTGTTGATAATTACTGAGAATTCACTGAACTATGACAACATATCAGCAATTTTTAAGCTCTGGTGTCTATCTTATTTGATCTTGTACTTCATCTGGTTGAATTGTATTACATATCATTGTTTTATTTGTTTCTACCACTAGCCACTGATCTCATAAATTAGTTAAACACACTGCCACAAATTAAAAATTTCAAATGTTAGTAATAATTACTTAATATATAGCGTTCTCACTTAGACGAGTCCATTAGTCCTGGACTCATAAATATATATGTTGACTATTCATTTTCTGAACTGGTGAGTCAAAAGAAACTTTAAGAATGTACTATTTTTTTTTAGCAAAAGTTAAAAAATCGACCAAAATTTGCAGCAATTTCCTTGCTCTTTTTCTCATGGAGACTTACATAACATATGAGCAGCGTCAGGTAGAAATCAACCTTATGCAAATGAATATCAATACATCTGTTAATCTATTTTGGGTTGAAAACATCTCCATTGAAAGTCTTTAACTGTTTAACAATTGAGATGTTATAAGAACCCTACAAAACAGACCAACATTTATCTTTTATTTTGTATTTGAATGTTCCAAAATCAATCAAAGTCTTTTACATGTACATGTATAGATGCACTTGCATAAGGTTGATTTCTATCTGATGCAGCTCATATTATATAACAATCACATTATTTTTCTTCTCACTGTTTGACTAACCATGGCTGTAAATAGTGAGTCCAGTCCCTGGATTAACCAATAAAAATTCTTTGTGAGAACCATGAGAATTGTCACTGGTTAGCAGCATTTCTATTTTAGCCTTAAATTGCTCATAGAATGTACGTTAATTATCATTTCTTCTTGTCATCTATGGATATTGTTTCATGTAACAAAAAAAGTTATTTGCCTTAAGTTGTTAACCTCTGAATGCTGTTTCTTGTAAGGTTGCTGTATCTTTGACACTTTCTCCACAATCTTTTTTAATCAATAATGTGCATAGTTTTACATACAAATTTATATATAGTGTCACAACTAACACAATTTTTGACATTATGTTAATTGTAACTTTACCATATTTACAACAAAACATACTGTATGAAGAGCTGAATCCAAGTCTTTATACTGAAACCATCCCAATTTGGATCCCATCTTTTGAAACATGGCAGAGACATCCAGTTCATCTTTTGGTTCCATTCTACTTGAAACAGCAAAATCTTTTACTACTGTTCAGTTAACTTTTTTTGTACTCATTCAGTTAAACCTGAAAAAGAGTTTGGCATCATAATATCAAGTACTGTTTCAACTCACATTAATCATAACAGAGATTTGGGTACATGTCAATGACACCTATTGACAAAAAAAAAAACAACCAAAACACATCTAGATGTTACATCTACAACAAAATGTAGGGTAATACAATATGTACAGTCATTGTGACAGTTCTAAATCATCCAAGTCTAAAAATTACGACTAAATTTAATAGATCTGCCATCAACACCCTATTCCCAAAATGACCACTAAAGATTAAGATATAACAAAAGACACTCAATAATTAGGCTCAAAACTTGGGACACACATATAAAACTAGGTTTTTTTTAAGATCTCAACCCTGACTTTGATCAGTGGACTTTAAAGGGACTCAATAAAAATCAGTACAGGAAAAGCACTTAAAAAATATGCCATTTAACTCTCTATGTTATTTCAGGCCAAAAACAAAATTAAAATTGTTTGTTGCCTACCTACCCACCTAAAAAGAATTCTTCTCGAAAAAATCTATGGCACAAATCTTTTCAAATTTTGTTTATAAAGATTTTTTCCTGCTCTAGAGTTGTTTTGTTGCCTAAAACATATAACTTATGTTGGCCAAAAAATAAATAAAATCCCTACCTAACTACTCAACCATATGAGGCATGAGTAGGCAACATCAAACAAATAATTTTTTCAGGGTGGCCTCATCAGCAATTTGAATTACTTTATTGGCAAATATACTGTCCCAATCTTTAGTTTAAACATTCAATAGGCCTCTATAGCCTGCTTGTGCTGTGCAGATAAAAAAATCACTAGAAGTAACTTTTGTTTCGAGCCTTAGTTAGGTGGAAATAAAACAGACTCAAAAGATGAAGGAACACTGACAGATGTGACCATCACCAAAGGAAATCCTGAAGACACTACACAGAAAACCAAAGGTGGACTGAACCAAACAAACCCCACTGAGAATTGAACTCATCCATTACATAAACAAAGTTGATGTTGCCCTTATAAAACCAACTAGAAATTGGGGATCAAGTCATTTTGCCTGAAGTGTTTGCTCTGGAGCCAATTCTTTGTATTGCCAAAAGATATATTTCCTTGTTGCTGTCACATTGCAATGAGACTAGCAAGTTGCAAAACAACACATACAATGCATGTTTACATAAAACCTCTGTACACCAAATCAGGACTATGACAGTTTGAAGCTGTTTTTTTTAATTTATTCATATCTTGAACTATCATAGACTATACATCTTTCTTCTTAAAATAATCTAACCAATAAGTAAAAGACGTTGTGACTATTTGACATAGGTGTAAAACAACAGTGACTATTTGGCATAGGTGTAAAATAACAAAGTGACTATTTGGCATAGGTGTAAAATAACAGACTATTTGGCATAGGTGTAAAATAACAAAGTGACTATTTGGCATAGGTGTAAAATAACAAAGTGACTATTTGGCATAGGTGTAAAATAACAAATTGACTATTTGGCATAGGTGTAAAATAACAGACTATTTGGCATAGGTGTAAAATAACAAAGTGACTTTTTGGCATAGGTGTAAAATAACAGACTATTTGGCATAGGTGTAAAATAACAAAGTGACTATTTGGCATAGGTGTAAAAGAACAAAGTGACTATTTGGCATAGGTGTAAAATAACAAAGTGACTATTTGGCATAGGTGTAAAATAACAAAGTGACTATTTGGCATAGGTGTAAAATAACAGACTATTTGGCATAGGTGTAAAATAACAAAGTGACTATTTGGCATAGGTGTAAAATAACAAAGTGACTACTTGGCATAGGTGTAAAATAACAAAGTGACTATTTGGCATAGGTGTAAAATAACAAAGTGACTATTTGGCACAGGTGTAAAATAACAAAGTTGAAATAAAATTTGGTCATTGTGAACAAGCCAATAAACATAGATACACATTCCACATTTATTATGTATCCGTCCTAAGACAAGTTTATGTAATCCAGTGGTTTCTGTCAGTCAGATTTGCATTTCCTGCATTGTTGTCATTCAACTGTTAATAATATCAATACATATATGCTTTCTTTTTTTGAATTGTTTCACATTTTGTCATACTTTGGCCGATTACAGCTTACTATATCGAATCCGTTTTACTGATCATTTAAGGCCGTACAGTGACATGCAATTGTTTACATCTTAGTCCTGTATTTATGGATAGTACTCTCAGTCTCTCATTGGCAATTCTGACATCATACCACAATTTTTAGTATATAAAATAGTTTCTGAAAAACCAAATGTAGCATAAATGGTAGAAGGGTCTATTTGGTTCTACATACTATGGTTCTGGATACATGTCGGAGATAAGACTCATTTCACAAAAACTAACAACATTCTTCAAAATATTACAAAGGAAACTTTAGACTGAGCAACACCCACTTTACAAAAAAATGAAGGGTTGATTTCAGGTGCTTTAGAAAGGTAAGCAGATCCTGTTCCACATGTGACACTAGTCTTATTGCTCTGGTAAGTGATAAATCTCACTCTGTGATGTTTGTATTGAGGGAAATAGGACATTATTGATTGTAGGACTTTTAGAACATATCTGAGAGCATAAGTAAGATTTCCCCAAACTTGTATTGAGGATATATCTGACTTCCAAATAGTATGATTGATTGTTGGGTGTTTAATGTCTTTAGCAGCACATTTAGTTATAAAATGGCAGTCAGTTTTGATTTTTATTTTGTACTGGAGTAATGGGAGAGAACCATTACATTGTGGGTAGTGGATGGTGGAAGACATGGTTTTGGGACAAGAAAGAAAACTTGTGTTTTAATTCTTACTGCAGTCTTTTAAAGAGCATATTGTGTTATATTTGGTTGACATCTACATTCTACACCCATCTATTACTGGCGGAGATTTCAAATTCACATTTTAAAGATAATAATCGTGTTTTCACATTTTCAAATTAGCCTCGTGTAACAAAGTCATCCATCAAAGATTTCAATCTAATATCCACAAACACTCATTTTCTGTTAGAATTGCTAAAACCTGGAACAAACTACCAGATAAAATCACTAAAGCCCCATCCATAAATACCTTCAAAAAACGATTAGACAAATATTGGTCTGACGAAGAGATCTATTACAATGATTATAGAGCAGAAATATCCGGAAGTCACGGACAAAATAGTATTAGAAATAACTTAAATTATGGAACCTTAGGGATCCTGTACAGGAAATCAACTCTAAGTAAGTAATATATTATCCATAATCGTTAGTAGTTAATATTATTGATTTTATTTCTGTTTGTTTTGGTTTTTTTTAGTGTCCACCATTTTGTAAATAATGTGCTTTTAAAATTTTTGAATAACTTGTTCAAGTGTGTCCCTAATATTATATAAAACTACTGTTTCCTTGCAATAATAGTATGTATGACTGAGCATAAACTTGAAAAATATCTGAAAAGGGAGTATGTTCCTCCGACAGGTCCTGCTACATTGACCCCTGTAGTTATGACAGACAGTTAGGCTAGATACCTGGAACAGCAGTGTATAACCCTGTTTGAAAAAAGTATTAAATGGTGGTATAAACCTGGCCAATCTTCATCTCCAAGTCGCTTTCGAGATGTTTCAGCAATAAAAAAATAAGAGGTAAGTAAATATTTCTTTATATATGATTAGACTTAGAAAATGTCACAGTCTGCAGAGCCATGTAAAGATTAAAATTTTCTTATTTTTTATCAGTAGATTGAAGTCTCTAAATATACCCCATATCTATTATGCCAAATGATCGATAAAAAATAGATGTGAAAAAAAAAGAAAATTAATGTATTGTTTTGCTTCAAAATATTATAATAATGCTGTACTGCATTTAATAATACATTTTTTACATTTATCATACATGTCATATGACTTATCAAGATAATCAATTCCACTACAGATACGTTTGTATGTTTAATTAGATAATTTGATTAAGCTAAGTGATAAAATTGGTGTCTAAGTGATTGACAAAGGTGTGTGTCTAATAATAAACCAATCAACTTGTTATTTAATTTAATCATTTCAAAACAAGACTGTCACCATTTCGTTTGCTTATGTTATTTTATGAAGATCATGTGGCAGTTGCTTCCTATGACCGGCCGAACAAAAAGAAACAAAAAGAACAAAGTAGTCTTGTTTTGACACGGGTACTGACATCGTAAAACATCTATCGTACATGTGACCATATTATTTCCAGAAGTACAATCTTCTTTTTTTTTTCAAATAAAACCTAAAAATGGATATAATATTATGAGGGTTAAAAATGAAGAAGTAATGCATTCTTATTTCCTTAAAATCAGGATTTTAAAAAGTTCCATCTACATAACCTTTTTAAACATTTTTTTTTAATAAAACATCATCGCCATAAAAGTGCATTAACCAGTTTACTTTTAAAGTTATAAAAGGTATATAAATGAAAATATATACAACAAAATCTCTTTTAATATGAAATAAAAGTATGGCCGAAAAGACTTTTATTACATGGCCAAATTGGTATATGGCTGAAACCTTTTATCGGAAATGTCTTGTTTCCCTAAAGGTCTTGTCTGCATGAAAAATAATCTTGCCTCCAAAATTGGACATTGGGATAATATCGCTCATGTCTCATTAGGTATGTATGTTCGGGTTGATACCTCCGTTATTCAGAGCTCCCCTCGAAAGTTGCGGAGGGTACAGTGGTATCCATGAACACTCCCTAACAGGATCAATGGAGAGGTGTCACTAACATATGTACAACCCACCACCAAGGATAAATCCCCAACCCAACACCACGAGAGTGCTACGACACCGGGAGATCTGTTATTATGGTGGAGGAAGCCGAAGTACTCGGAGAGAACCACCGAGCAACTCGGCGGGAACAGACAAACCGAAGAGATATCTGAAGATTGATCTCCTGGTCAAAGTCAGGGGTCACTTCAACCAACCAAGGCCCCCAAAGTACCAATTCTAGTTTAAACTCCTGTATGGGTACCAGAGATGTGTACGGGAGGGTAA